TCACAGCAGATGTATGACCAGGAAAAGCAGACTCTACGAGTGACCACACCTTCGGCGATTGTAGGGTGTGCACCAGAAAGCCAACCTGGGGCGTAAGTGCCGCAGTGACGTACGGGCACACATTTGTCCGCCATCCGATCTCCGGCATCTCCTTGAAAACGGTACCAACCTGGTACCAGGTCTCTATCGCGTCTATAGTTGCTGGCGTTGATCACTATGTGTCCTTGAGCGCGGTCTACTTCACTTAGGACTGTGTAATTTTTACATCCATCCACTGTAAGTAAGGAAATATTAGTTGGCTACAATAACCACAAAACTGCATTTGGTAACTAAAGAGTTGTAACAAAAACCAAAACCGAGAGAGTCACGAGTGATAAATGTACAGCACGCCGTAGAGTTAAAAAAAATATCCAGATGAATGGGTGTGGTGATTAAATCCTAGAGGATTAACTTGCGGTGAACTAGCTTTCCATCCAGAGGGGGAGTGGGGATCTATAAATAATTGTAGTCTGAAAAACCGGAGATGAACGTCGGCCTGAGGGACCGCCATGTTTGCATGTAAACGTTCTTGAATGTCTAAAGCAAACACGCTACGTTCTATAAATATTTGACTTTAACCTAAGTTGCTATAGTTATTCTGGTGTGTTTTAAGGACGTTCGCGCGAAAATTTTCCAGTCGATAGATTTTTTAAAATTTTTTACTGCAGTCAGATAATGAGTTGCTTGTGTCAGAAATGCAAAGATAATTGGGGGTCACCGAATTCGTTTCAGAGATAAAGCGTGTGGGAAACTACCCTGGTTTTGAAAAATTGGCGCACATAATTCAGCATGGTCTACAGGGGTTTTAAGTTAAAAAATCGAGGTTGAGTCAACTGAGGCAAATGAGCTTAGTCATATTTTGTAGAAGTGGGTCTGTTGAGGAAATAATTCCAAATGTTACCAACGTTTTCACAAATCTTAACCCTTCAAGAGGCATTTGAAACCGTTGCACAGACAAGCGAAGAACTGAAAAGAGCGGAATTCGACGGAATTCATTTAGCGGAATTCATTTTTCGCTAAACGTAGAAAATCGGTAGAGAAAATGATCCATCAAAAGGAAAATAGGGGTCACCGAACGTTCAAGATCGTTAAATCCAGGAAAAGCTATAGCAATGGCCATCTACCCTATCATTCTTCATTTTATTATTCAGCGTCCACGCTCATGACGCGGCGTGTGAATTCGCGTGCGCAGTAAGGATGCACCGAAACAGTCAGCGCGAACGTCCTAAAGGTACCTTTCAAGAGGAAAAAATGAATTTCAGTAACACGCATGGTTTTTTCTTCTTTCCTGTGCAAACAGGTGTAATGTTTGCACATGGTTAATTAATTGCATTTCGTCTCTGGGGATCTGAAGCAAACAACGACGGCAACGACAACGGGAACGCGAGTAGACAAAAGCCTTAAATGTTGGCTGTTCATGATTAAGAACCAGAGGATAGGAATGATTGTAATATTTTTGCTAATACGGTA